AAAGAGAGAGAAAGAGCGTGAGCACAGAAAGGGGCAGGAGAGGGAAAAACTTTCTCACTGAGCTCAGAGCTCCACCTGGCACTTCATGTAAAGACCCTGAAATTGTAATCTGAGCTGAAACCAAGAGTCAGTTGCTCAACCAACTGCACCAACCAGAGGCCCTTGTTTTTTTTCGTTTTTTTTTTAAGTAGGCTCCATGCCAGCATGGGGTCCACTGCAGAGCTTGAACTCACCACCCTGAGATCAAGACCTGAGCTGAGATCAAGAGGCTCAGACTTAACTGACTGAGCAACCCAGACACGTTTTTTGAAGCATAAAAAAAAAAAAAACTTTTCAAGTTTTTCATTTTGGTGAAGTCCAATTTGTCTACTTTTTCTTTTGTTGCTTGTACTTTTGGTGTCATATTGCTTAATACACGGTTGTGAAGATTTGACATGTTTTCTTCTAAGAGTTTTAAAGTTTTAGCCTACATTAGATTTTATTTCTAATTAATTTTTGTATATGATAATAGGTAGAGATCTAAATGTAGTCTTTTCTTTTGCATGTGTTTTCCAGTTGTTCCTGATTATCTTTTTGACATTTATAGGATCTCTGAAGATGCCTCTTTTTTCATTCCTGATATTGATAATTTGTGACTTTTTAAAATCTCAGTTAATCTTCCAAGTGTTTATTGATTTGGGGATGTTGTTAATTGTATTAGTCTTTCCAAATAATTAGCTTGGTGCTTATTGATCTTCCCTATTACATGTTTTTTATTTAATTCCTTTCTGGATTATATTATTTACCTTCTTCTACTTTGTACTTATCTTGCTATTGTCTAATTTCTTGAGATAAATGGTTAAATTATAAGTGTTCAGCTTTTCCTTTTAACTAATGTATGCATCCAAGGCTAAAATTTTCCTCTAAACTTGACTTTAGCTGCATTCCGTAAATTTTGATATGTGATATTCTCATTATCATCCAGTTAAAATATTTTCTAATTCCCATTGTAATTTCTTCCTTGTCCATTGGATTATTTGGAAGAGTACTTTTAAATATAATACTTGTATGGTATATCTTTTTTCAACTTGTTATCAACTTACCTATATACTTATGTTTAGATGTACCTCTTGGAAACAGTATATAGCTGAGTGTTTTTAAAATCCAGTCTAATTATTTTCCCCATTTTATTGGTGTATTCTGTCTATTTGTATCTAATCCAATTGGTAAGATGTTGGCTTAAATCTAACATGTTGCTATGTGCCTTCTATTTGTTCCATCAGCAATATTTCCTTTTTAAAGCCTTCTTTGGGATTATTTTTTATTATACAGTTTCACCCTTTTATGAGTTTGGAAGTTAAACCTCATTTTGCTTTAATTTTATTTTTAGGTTTTCTTTACAGTTTCAAAATGCATCATTGGCTTTCTTTCTTAATTAATTCTTAATGTTGATCATCAGTAACCCTTCTCATTCCTCTTCCCTTAGAACACTTGAACCTCAGTTGGGTCCCTTTTTACTTACAAGCATTGTTATAATTTAACTTTATATACATTTAAAATTCCACAGGACAGTACTATTGTCATTTTACATAGGCAGAATCATTTAGATTTGCCTTCATAATTATCATTTCAATTGATCTTCCTTTCTGCAACAACTACCTGTTATCTGGGATCATTTCTTTTTGCCTGGAGAAGCCCACTTAATACTTATTTTTATTTTTATGTTTTTACTTTTTTTTACATTTTTTATTAATGTTTTATTTTTTTAGGTAGCCTCCATGTCCAAGGTGGGGCTTGAAATCACGACCCTGAGACTGAAAGTCTCATGCTTTACCAATTGAGCCAACCAGGTACCCCCATTTAATACTTTTTAAATTCAGGTCTATTTATGAAAAATATTACTGTTTTTGTTTGTCTGATATTTATTTATTTATTTATTTATTTATTTATTTATTTATTTATTTATTTCACCTTCTGTCTGACAGGATTTTTTGTTGGTATAGAATTCTATTATCTTCTATTTTCAATTATTTCTGCTGAGAGTAAGCTCATCACTGCTTCTTTGAAAGTGCTTTTTGGTTTTTTTCTGGCTGCCTTCAGGATTTTCTCTTTGGCTTGTTTTTGAGGAGTTTCATATGACGTACCTATATTTGAGTACTTTCTTTACCCTTATTGGCAGGAGGGACCAGAGGGAAGTAATGAATTGCTTTGAGCACAAAATTTAAGGATGGATTCAATCTCAGGGTCATGCAAGTGCACCTTTATCCCAGTCTTGCTTACTTCACTGATTTTTTCATTTGCAGTTTGATATCTTTAGTCTTTTTTTTTTTAACGATTTTACTCTTAAGAAATCTCTATACCCAATGCGGGTCTTGAAGCTACAACCCTGAGATCAAGGGTCACATACTCCACTGACTGAGCCAGCCAGGTGCCCCATTTTGAAAAGTCCTTGGCCATTATCTTCTAGTCATTTTGAAAAGTCCTTGGCCAATATCTTTTAACATATCACCTCTACTGCATTCTCTTTTCCTCCACTCTGGAATTTCCCTGCATAGATTTTGTATCTTCTTACGGCTTTCTTTTTTTTAAGATTTTATTTATTTATTCATGAGAGACACAGAGAGAGGCAGAGACACAGGCAGAGGGAAAAGCAGGCTTCCTGCAGGGAGCCCGACACAGGACTCAATCCTGGGACTCTGGGATCATGCCCTGAACTGAAGGCAGATGCTCAACTGCTGAACCACCCAGGCATCCCTCTTCTTACGGTTTCTATGCTTCTTACCATTGCTTTTGTATTTTTCAACCTTTTGTGTCTCTGTGTTTCATTCCAAATATTGTCTTCTGGACTGCCTTCCAGGTCCCTGATCATCTTTTCAGCTATGTCTAATCAGCCATTAAATTTACCTCCTGAGTTCTTAATTATAGTTAGTTGTATTTTTCAGTTCTAAAAGTTTTTTTTAATTCAACCATATCCTTTATTTTTTAAGATTTTATTTATTTATTCATAAGAGACATAGTGAGAGAGGCAGAGACACAGGCAGAGGGAGAAGCAGGCTCCATGCAAGGAGCCTGATGTGGAACTTGATCTCAGGACCCCAGGATCATGCCCTGGACTGAAGGCAGGCGCTTAACTGCTGAACCACCCAGGGATCCCCTCAACCATACCCTTAAAAAATATGACATGGTGAATTTTAAAAGTTTCCAATCCTTGGGGTGTTTGGGTGGTGCAATTGGTTAAGTGTCCACCTCAGTTTCAGCTCAAGTCATGATCTCGGGATCATAGGACTGAGCCCCATGTCAGGCTTCATGCTCAGTGGGGAGACTGCTTCAGATTCTCTCCCCCTCTCCTCTGTCCCTCCCACTCATGCTCTCTCTCTAAAACAAATAAATCTAAATCAATCTTTAAAAAGTTTCCAGTCCTCTGCAGAAATTTTCAACTTCTCTTTTATCTCTTTGAATATGATAAATAAAGTTATTTTAAAGACAACTTGTTTTTGGCCACTCTGCACTGAGCAAAATGACTAGAAGGAAAACCTCACCTCAAAAGTATCAGAAACAGCCCTCTCTCCCACAGAGTTACAAAATCTGGATTACACTTCAATGTCAGAAAGCCAATTCAGAAGCACTATTATACAGCTACTGGTGGCTCTAGAAAAAAGCATTAAGGCCTCACGAGACTTCATGACTGCAGAATTTAGATCCAATCAGGCAGAAATTAAAAATCAATTGAATGAGATGCAATCCAAACTAGAATTCCTAACGACGAGGGTTAACGAGGTGGAAGAACGAGTGAGTGACATAGAAGACAAGTTATTGGCAAAGAGAGAAACTGAGGAAAAAAGAGATAAACAATTAAAGAACCATGAAGACAGATTAAGGGAAATAAATGACACTCTAAGGAAGAAAAACCTACGTTTAATTGGGGTTCCCGAGGGCGCCGAAAGGGACAGAGGGCCAGAATATGTATTTGAACAAATCCTAGCTGAAAACTTTCCCAATCTGGGAAGGGAAACAGGCATTCAGATCCAGGAAATAGAGAGATCCCCCCCTAAAATCAATAAAAACCGTTCAACACCTCGACATCTAATAGTGAAGCTTGCAAATTCCAAAGATAAAGAGAAGATCCTTAAAGCAGCAAGAGACAAGAAGTCCCTGACTTTCATGGGGAGGAATATCAGGGTAACAGCAGACCTCTCCACAGAGACCTGGCAGGCCAGAAAGGGCTGGAGGATATATTCAGGGTCCTAAATGAGAAGAACATGCAACCAAGAATACTTTATCCAGCAAGGCTCTCATTCAAAATGGAAGGAGAGATAAAGAGCTTCCTAGACAGGCAGGAACTGAAAGAATATGTGACCTCCAAACCAGCTCTGCAAGAAATTTTAAGGGGGACTCTTAAAATTCCCCTTTAAGAAGAAGTTCAGTGGAACAATCCACAAAAACAAGGACTAAATAGATATCATGATGACACTAAACTCATATCTGTCAATAGTAACTCTGAACGTGAATGGGCTTAATGACCCCATCAAAAGGCGCAGGGTTTCAGACTGGATAAAAAAACAGGACCCATCTATTTGCTGTCTACAAGAGACTCATTTTAGACAGAAAGACACCTACAACCTGAAAATAAAAGGTTGGAGAACCATTTACCATTCAAATGGTTCTCAAAATATATCCTAAAAACTATAGAACACTTCTGAAAGAAATTGAGGAAGACACAAAGAGATGGAAAAATATTCCATGCTCATGGATTGGCAGAATTAATATTGTGAAAATGTCAATTTTACCCAGGGCAATTTACACGTATAATGCAATCCCTATCAAAATACCATGGACTTTCTTCAGACTTAGAACAAGTTATTTTAAGATTTGTGTGGAATCAGAAAAGACCCCGAACAGCCAGGGGAATTTTAAAAAAGAAAACCATATCTCTCACGTTCTCGAAGACAAGAGCTTGCAACAAAGGCTTTTCAACATAGATGACATTTATATGGTTTCTCTCCAGTGTGAGTTCTCTCATGTTCTCTAAGATTGGAGCTTGTTACAAAGGCTTTTCCACATAGGAGATGTTTATATGGTTTCTCTCCAGTGTGGGTTCTCTCGTGTTTTTTTAAGACAAGAGCTTGTAATAAAGGCTTTCCCACACAGATGACATTTATATGGTTTCTCTCCAGTGTGGGTTCTCTCATGTTGTCTAAAACAAGAGCTTTGAACAAACGCTTTCCCACATAGATGACATTTATATGGTTTCTCTCCCGTATGGGTTCTCTCATGTTCTCTAAGATTGGAGCTTGTAACAAAGGCTTTTCCACATAGGAGACATTTATATGGTCTCTCTCCAGTGTGAGTTCTCTCGTGTTGTTTAAGATAAGAGCTTTGAACAAAGGCTTTTCCACACAGATGAGATTCATAAGGCTTCTCTCCAGAATGAATATGCTTATGTCTAGTTAAAGATGAAAAATACCTGAAATGACTCCCACACTGATTACAGACAAATGGATTCTCTCCCGTGTGAGTTATTTTATGGGAACGAAGGTGGGAGTTTGACTGAAGTGTTTTCCACATTCATCACATTTATAGGGTTTCTCTCCCGTGTGAATTCTCTGGTGTATGCAAAGCTTTCTTCTATTATGAAAATATTTCTCACATTCCTTACATTTATAAAGTTTGCCTTCCATATAAGGTTTCTGGTGTCTATATAGGTCATTTCTATGACTGAAAGGGTTTCCACATTCACTCCATTTATAGGGTCTCTGTCCAGTGTGAGTTAAAACATGCTGAGTCAATGTGTAGGGGTGAGTGAAAACTCCATCATACCCAATATGTGCAAAGGGGTCTTCTCCTGAGTGACATTTCTGTACTATTGTCTTGTAGTTAGATGCATCCTCCCTGCAGATGTCTTACATAGATATTATTTCTTGTTTTTGATAGCTGTTTTCCAAGCCTGAAATAACTGGACCCCAGCCTTGGGCCAGTCCTCTCTCTTCCTTCCACAGCTCCCTCCTTGCTCCCACTGGGCAATCATATCTGACTGGAAGAACTGACAGCCTACGGAGACCAGATGAGTGATATTCTCCAGCATTACATCAATGTACAGCTTTCTCTGGGACCTATCCATCAGGGTCCACTCTTCCTGGGTTAAGTCTACAGCTACATCTTTGAAGGTCACAGAGTCTTGTTCTTTAGAGTCTATGAAGGCAGACAGGTCCTGCAGGAGAGCGTGGGACTCCTGAGATGGCTCTTCTGAAGGACAGCCCCAGAGTGATCCCTCTGGCAGCGAGCTCTCCATCTTAACACCAATTCTCCTGGTAGCAGTTCTCTGGATGTTAATCCTGTTTTTCTGCAGTTGCATTCTCAGGAATTCAGCCACCACCTCACCTCCTCTGGATCTCCCCACTCATGGACAGTCCAAGAAGTAAGGAGGAAAAGCTGCGATGGCGGGGAGGCTCCACGGTCTCTGGGCAGCTCTGCAGGCAGCCGGCATCTGCGCTCATCTCGAGACTGAACTTTTTGGATGTACACTAATATCTTTGTACATGCATATTTATCATTGATTTACTTATATCTTTAAATGAATGCTGGGTGCCAATAGAATTGAATGTTTTTAAGGGTATCGATGCCTACCCCACAAGCTGTATATAAGAGTACATTTCTGCCCATACCTCTGACAACATACAGTATTACCAAACATTTGTCCTTTGTCAAAAAGGATGTAAATTACACATTTTCATAATGTATTTTTTCTTTAAAAGACTATCTAAAAAATAAAATAAAATAAAAAAGACTAGAGAGTGAGAAAGAGAGAGAGAGAGAGCATGCAAGCAAGTGGGAGACGGGCAGTGGGGGAAGGAGAGAGAATCTGAAGCAAACTCCACACGCTCAGCATGGAGCCCAAGGCAGGGCTTGATCTCACCATCATGAGATCATGACCTAAGCCGAAACCAAGAGTCTGTCGCTTAACCGACTAAACCATGCAGGCACCCCTATAATGCATCTTTTTACTTTGCTACTGATTTTCAACATTTTCATTTTTGCTGTTGTTGGATATTCTTTTGCATGTAGGAAGTGCCTGTTTATCTCTAGCATATTTTCATTTTTATTTTTTATTTATTTGTGATATTTCATGATAAATTAAGAAAATTCTTTCTTAGGTATTTATTTTCCAAATATTTCCTCAATATGTCATATATATACCGTAGATATATTACATATATCTGTAATATATATGTATGTATGACACTTATATATGAGAGAATAACATCTATTTTTTAATTTTTGTAGTGAATTTTAATAGAGAGGTTTATGATGATTTTGGCTTCTGGTATTGTTTTTAAAGGACTTACTAATGTCAGTAGTTATACAATTTACCTATATTACCACTACAAAACATCTTTTACATTTAAGATGTAAATCTTGTTGATTACATCAACAACTATATGCTATGTGATATAGGAGTCAAATTTCCTTTTCTAAGAGGTGAGCCTCCTATCTCCATACTATTAATTGACCAATTGATTATTTTCCTCAGTGATTAGTTCTCAAATAGTAAATTCTTCTCTATAAAAGCATTATTTCTCTGAGATATAGGGTGCAAAAATTTAAAAATAGCTCAGTAAAACCATTTTCCCCTTATACTTTCCCAATGATTCCATAACTCCTGTCCAGGATTAAGACAGTAGCTGCCAATTCTTTACTGATATGAGAGAATTCTGAGGCTTCTGGGACTCCCTTCTAATTTATCCCTAAAAGCTGATGATTCCAAAAGCCACTATTTGCTTTTTCTAAATTTCTAAATACCTAACTTTCTAATATCCATGTATTATTTCATTTTTTAGTATGAATACACAACTCAACTCTAACGAGGAAAAGAGACAGTAGTTTCTTATAGATAGATTTCTATCTGTAGTTTAAAATTTATGCTACTTGGGTAAACCTTAGAACCCAATGAGCACCTCCATATACGTCTTAAACAGGGGGCAGTTCAGCTAAGTCCTGATCTTGAAGAAGCCATTGACAATAGTACCCTCAGATCTCATTGATGGAAAGTAAAAGGATCCCCAAGTGAGAAATGGAACTATTACAACTAGACTGGGAAAATGGAGGCACAGGTAATTGCTTAGCCATTTCTCTCTCTCTCTCTCTCTCTCTCTCTCTCTCTCTCTCTTTGTAACATCCAAATGATAAAGTCTTTCTTTTTCCCTCCCCAAGTTTTAGGTGTAAAGATTTTTAAGTCATATTTAAATTGTAGCTAATTTAGGAAGACTTGAAACTTCTGTGCCTAAATTACTGGATCTAGTTCTGAACCTGTATCTCTGTAGAGGAAGATATGAGTTACCTGGGAACACATCAAACTAAATACACCCCGCCTATACACACACGCACACACACTCTATATAATGGAGATCTCCCTATGCCTCCCATTTGCTGTTAAAATCACTACAACAGAAGCTCTAGCTTCTAATGGAAGTGGATCAAATTTCTGGGATGTGTTGAGAATCATTTCTTTATTAACCATAAGAGATTGAGAAACACCTTTACATTAACTAGAAGTTTATCATGTAATCATTCAATAAACATTTTTTGAGCAACTACTACCTGTTTAATGCTCAGCCTATATGAATACAACAGGGTGAAGAAGAGGCACAGGATTAAATAAACCAGCAAGTTCAGCATGGAGAGACCAAGGAGAGGTGTAAAACAGAACACAATGGGACTGTGCAGAAAGAATATCAATTCCATCTCAGCCAGTTAGGGAAAGATGTCCAGTGGAATTAGTATCTATGCTGAAATCTAAATGATGAAATAAATTAGGCAAAAAGCAGAAGAAGAAAGTCTCTGGTAGAGGCAAAAGCTTATATTAATGTCCAGAAATGAAAGATTATATCATGTCTGGAGAAATTAAAAAAAAAATCCGGAATGACCAGAGCATAGAATTTAAGTCAAAGAAAGGAGGGAGGTATAGAGATAAAAAAATGAGGTTAAAGAAGCAAATAGGGTGATTATGAGGCACCCACTAAGCCGGTAAATGTGTTTGAATTCTACCAAAAGAGCACAGAAGAGTAAAATGGCTATTTTAAGCAGAGAGCAACCTAAAATTTTCCTTTGGAAAGAAAACTCTGATTGCAATGTGCAAAACAAGAGAGGAGGGCAAGTCTACAGTCATGGGAATGAGTTAATAGGCAAAAATGTTCTGTATTCATTTCTGAGTAAGAGTTCAAATAAGTATTAAGCAACTAGAACTCTCTGGCTAACCATTGATTACCCTGTGAATTATCTAGTTAAAACACAGTGTCTTAATTGTTATACTTAATAATTGCACTGTTTATAATTTAAGTTGTTGATTATCTAAGTTTTAACACTCAGAGAATTGATTAAATTGGGCAACTCCTCTCTTGGATGGAAGCATCACCTTCAATGGAATGCTAACTACCTCTGAGAATTATGTTTAACTCCGACTTTCTTTGCCATAGGCAGAAGTAATTGATTTTAGGCTGGGTGAACTGGTTCTTAATACATATGCCCACAGGGAGAATGTCATTTTAATAAGATGCTTCTACAAGCCACATCCTACTTAAAATAGAAGGTTTTCCCTTTGCTTTTATAAGCAAAAACTGAAGGAGTCCTGTTTGCCCTTAAGTTCATAGTAAACAACTGTGAAGTGATGTAACCCTGAGTCGGCAGTCTACAAAGTCCCTCTTTGCCAATTCAGCTACCTATGTTTTGTTCTGTTTGTAGCTGAAGCTTTCCCAGGAAAATACATCTATGTTTAACATTCTTGAAAACCACTAATTAGTACAGCTAAATCTGCTTGTATTGGCTCTGCAGCAGTTGTTCTCCTGATTTCCTAATCTATTGTTTTGTTCTGCAACCACCATGGCACAACTAAAATAAAAGTATTCAAATAATTAGAAATTGTGGAGGGGAGATAATAAAATAAACCACTGCACCTCAAGAGATCAAGACAAAAAAATGGAGAGCCTTCAAAAATAGAAAATCATCAGTTCATTGAAACAGTCAAATTTTGATGTTGATTCAGATTTGACCCAATCCTGAGTAGTTCAAGACTACTGAGTTGTAGAGAAAATCGTTTACATGTTTCTTTCAATTCATTATTTATATATCATCTGTTAAAATGTTTAATTTTGGTAAATGTTTTCTAGCTCACATAATACATTAGCATCATGTATATTATATATGATATTAACTATGAATACATCCATGTCATATATGTAGGCCTAAATTACCTATATAACAAAGTTAATTATCCTGCAATCAAATTTGTTGCCCATTGTTCTTACATCTAATTTGCCAAAATGCCACATATAGCCTACTTTTAGGCATTTACATAAAATTAAACATTTATATTTAAAAAAAACAGTTACTTTAAACTTTTCAAGTTATGTTTGGTATTATAGTCCTTCAACAATAACTTTCACAAACTTCATCACAAACCACTGGTGGTAACCTGGCTTATTTTATATAATGCACAGATGAACTTTTACAACTATTTTATTAGTTGTGTATTTATTCTAATGTCAGTTAGAAAAATTGCACACAAATGCCACGGACATCAAGGTGTTGGGCTACGAGGACTTGGCTGCCACCCCCAAGGACAAACTATCCTGGACATGGGATAGCCTGACCTCATCATGATCTACAAGCGTCACTATCCCTAATTCCCTCCTGGAACATAGGGAATTACTACTCAGAAGTACTACTCAGTACTCAGAAGCCAAGATCTCGCTGTCACCCAAATCTGCATCTTCCCAACATCCCCAGAGGTGTGGGCAGAGAGCTGGACCTCTGGAACCATCTACCATGCTTCACCTCAAGAATCACTGGAACCTCCCAGAACACCCTGACCCATTTCCACCATCATCCTACTCAGATTCTAACATGGACAAATAGCCATGCATCCACAAGCAGAGAGAATCCATGGAAGGCAGCTCTCAGAGCAAGCCTTTCATTGAGGATCTTATCATCAAGTCATCCAAGTTCCCCATAACCTAGTCCCTGACTTCGACCCACCCACCAAGATTGAAACTGATTATTGGTCATGCCCTCTGTCACTGGTCATTGCAGAGACAGAAAGACAGAAGCAGAAGGAGCACAGAAAAAGGCAGAAGAAGAGGATAAATGCAGAAAAGAGATGAAAACTCCCAGGAAGAGTCAGAAAAAGGAACTCGGTAAGGAGACTTTCTAACGTAGGAAAGATAATCTTCAAGAAAGAGATGAAAGAGTCATCGCCTACATGAGGAAAACTCAGTCCCTACTGGATCAGACACCCTTTGAAACCTCCCTGCATTCTAGGTCACCTAAGTGTTCTCTCCCTGACTGAGGCAAGACCACGCT